GGCAGTACTTACTTACTTACTCATAGTAAGATTTGTTTTAAGTTGAAAAGTCCAGAATTTGTTGTATTTTGGATCCTTGTATGCTGGTATCCTCACCAGGGTTTTTAAATAACAAGACTTTCTTGGACAACCAGCTTCACCAGAAGGCCATGCTGAATGACTAGCATTTTTTTGAAAAGCACCAAACCAGCAAATTCTTGTTGTGTTTTTACAGCAGGGGTTTGATTAAAGTTTTTGTGAGTCTAATAAAGCATGGTGAGAGCCCACACTCATTTCATAATCACGCATGACCCGTGTCTGCTCTCTTATAGATAATTGCGAAGCGTGGCATTGACTACCTGCTGTGTCATGGGCCTAAGGTTCATAAAGAGCTGTGGGGGATGTCCTCGCGTGACGCTATCCTGCTCTTTATCAGAGAATCTTGCCGTCTGGAGGATGTTCCAGTCACCTTTTATCGCCTACAGAAGGTCAGAGGTCAAGCACGTTTATCGGAATGTCTTTCTGTAGGTCAGGACATTCTCAGCTGTGGAATGTAGGGAGGTTTTGAAAATATTTTCATCAAAGTAGAAGTTAAAGGTGAAGTAATGTCTGCACTACTAGTGGCACCTGATGGAACTGCATTCTGCTCGATTGAGTAATATTACAACAGCAGCTCAACCAATGCTAGAATGATTTCTGAAGGATCATGTGACACTGAAGACTGTAGAAATGGTTTCTGAAAATTTACCATAACAGGAATTTTAAATTGTAACAGTTATTTTAGATATTAGATATTATTTAGTTATATTTTAATATCACTGGGTATTTGATCAAATAAATGCAGCCTTGGTGAGCATAAGAAACGTATAAAAATAAAAAAAATCTTACTGACCCCAAACTTTCAGTTTTGTGTGTGCATATAATATAGATTTGAATAATTGTATTCATACGTAATATAATTAATATTTTTAATATCAAAATTATTATTGTTTTTTATATATGCAATATTAGATATTATTAAGTGTGTTAATAAGCCTGTGTCTCTTTCCTGTAGGACAAGAAAGAAGAGAAAGGTTCAGCACTCCTTGGACTCACTCTACGAGGAATGCAAGTGTATCAGGTGTGTGTATCAGAATGCATGAGGCATTTTTCTTTCCACTACAAATAGGGAAAACCACTTCTTGTATATAATTTGCTGCAGTGCAAAAAACTGGACACAGCAACATCACAACAGTAGTTGTTGCACATCACATGAAATCGACAGCCCTCATTGAAAATGATTAACTTGTGGTTGCTTTTTGCTGCAAAGCATGTGTGAACAGCCTACTTTGTTGTGCAGTCCTTGTGTTTTCTCTTTGAGCCGGTGCCAATCACAATGATTGAGCTCTCCAGATAGGCCTGACTGGAATGCATATATTAGATGGTTCAGTCCATAAACGGATTTGGAGTGCATGCCTTTCCCCTGAGCCCTCTGATCTGCCCGTTAAAGCGTCCGGGGTTGGATTAAACTGAGGGCCCTGTGTCTAATGGCGCTTTTCCACTGCATGGTACGGCACGGTACGGCTAGAGATCAAAGACCCAGTGTGGTGAGGCCCTGACCCCAACCTTAAATGGGCTCCCCTTCTGCACTGATAAAGAACAGGATTTATATTTTACTCCTTTCTCACACTGCCAAATAAGCTTATATTACAAACGATCTAACAAATGATTTGTGGAAGTGAGTTTTGTAGCAAGTAGGGTTTGGAGATCTGATTGTTAGTCTATTAATAAAAAAACTACTGGAAATGAGGCCCTGTTTACACTAGTGCGTTTTCGTTTTAAAACGGCGTTTTAAAATGAAAACGATCCTCGTCTACACTTGCGTTTTCACTACGTTTCAGAAACGATCTCCGTTCCACACTACACAACCGAAAACGCATGTCACATGACCATTCATGCAGGTACAACAATGAGCATGATGTTATTGTTTACACGGTCGTCAAGGATACGCAGAGCGAATGTTGGCAGCCACGCCATCGTTTTAAAAAGTCTCAGTTTTGGTCCATTTACACTGAAATGTAACCCCGGGGTTTTCAAACTAAAAAGGGGTCTGTAGTGTTTTCGAAAGTCTCCGTTTTCGAGGGACGAAAATGCTGGAGTAGAGTAAACGACAGGCGTAACCGTAGCAAAAGTTATGCGTTTTAAAACGAAAACGCACTAGTGTAAACGTAGCCTGAATCATTTTGGTTGGAATGAACCGTGTATTATTTGTATTAGAATAACAAATTATAAAATTCTATAAAAATGTTATGTGTACTTAAAGGGTTAGTTCACCCAAAAATGAAAATTAGGTTGTGTTTTACTCACCCCCGAGGCATCCTAGGTGTATATGACTTTCTTCTTTCAGACGAATCCAGTCGGAGTTATATTAAAAATTGTCCTGGCTATTCCAAGCTCTATCTATCTATATAAAAGCGCCCATCCATTAAAAAAAGTGTCTCACACGGCTCCGGGGGTGAAGCAGTTCCGGGCGGATGACGTATGAGGTCAGCACTGCGCATGCGCCGCTCAGAAGTGATGAACGCGGAAGCACAGGGGAGAGATCAAAACAAAACAACGGTCACTAATTAGAAGTACAAAACAAGGATTTGTAAAGAAGAATGTCAGAGGATTTCGATATAAGCCAAGAGGACAACCTAATTTTCATTTTTGGGTAAACTAATCCTTTAAGGCACAGTTTTTCTAATATAAATATTAATATTTGTTATCTAATATAAATATTATTGTAAAATCAAAATTTAAAAAATTAAAAATCTAAATGCTCTAAGTTTTTTGTTTAATAAATAAAACTAATATTTTTATTGCATTTATTAAGTACATAATTAGCACCAATTATTTTGATTTCTCAAAAGTAATAAAATAATCTGTAATGGAATCATAAAGGAACCTGAATCATTCAGAATCTGAGCAATTTAATTTTCTAACAATCCCCATTTTTACTTGTGAGTCGACCATTTCATGTGACAGAGGCCTTTTTTTTCTTTATTTTGCAGGAGGTGAACAATGTGCGTGATCTGCTGTATGACTTCCCCTGGTTTCACGTGGGACGACTCACTTTTCTGGTAACATTTAATGTTACGGCTTTTTACATTATTAGATCACACCAGACCAAGGATATTATAGTTTTGAATTTTTAAATTAGTTTTTATTTTAATATCTGCAGTTCCGGGCGGATGACGTATGAGGTCAGCACTGCGCATGCGCCGCTCAGAAGTGATGAACGCGGAAGCACAGGGGAGAGATTTTAATAATGAAAATAAAAGAAATCTTTACAATTGAACAAAATCCAAAAATATGCAACATATGTATAAAATTTATTCATTCATATTCATGTTCATATTCATTCATATTAAAGATGTAATCTTGTTAAACATACCAATAGTTTACAAACAACAAGCTAATCGAGGTTTTCAGAAATCGTCATTGAAACTCTGTAAACTTTATTTTTGTCAATCTGTGTTTTAAATGAATTCATTTGTTGGATCTTTGGCACAGATGAGCCACCGGTGCACACTACTGTATGTCCCGTCTCTCCCTCTATGAATGTACACAATAAGAAGAAACAATCTAAAATGCTTTGAAACTTCATACTACTCAAAACTAAATGCGATATGGTGATTTAACTTGATGTTTGCACTTTACTTCGACGAGCCGCTCCAGCGCGCACGCGCTCCAGATGAGCAACGCAATCAATCCCATAAAGCCCCTTTTACACAAGACACGGCAAGCGGTGAAAACACCGCGCGCTGCCGCTTTCTCTCATTTTGGATGCGTTTTTGTACAGTCAAGGCGGTGCTCGTGTCATGGACTCGAGGCATAAAGTGGCACATTCCACAACCTGTCGTTTGGGCAGTATATAAGCTGTTTTTAGACTAACGAGAAAGTTTTGAGTTCTGAAACTTACAGGATGTTTTTAAAGCACAATGACCTCTTATATGTCAAAAGATCGAGGGAATTTTGATTTCTCAGTTCATGACCCCTTTAATTACTTTCCACTATGTTATTGTAAAACAAAACAAAACAAAGTTATGAAGAACAGTCTAGTTCAGTCGTTTTCAAACTGGGATCCAAATCTGTGATAAATTGACAACAATAATAATAATAATAATGACTTTTTTTTCATTCACATTCCACAAATGTAAATTTTACTTTACTTAAACTTAAAAATTGCATAGTGAAGCACTGTCTAGTCCAGTGGTCCATAATAAATTGAGAAAAAAGTATAATAATAATAAATATATTATCAAAATGTATTTTTAAGACAGGTAAAGTCAGCGTGTGCATAAATTAAATCAAACTGCGTTTAATGTATTTTTGCCTATTCATGTTCATCAATTGTTTTGTTTTTTTAAACTTCTGTGTTTAAGATACATGCCAACTTAATAAAAGTTTCAAGTTTGTTTATTTATACAGTATAGCACATTTAAAAACAGCAAACACGGCTGTCCAAAGTGCTGAACTAAACATAAAATGAAAGCACAGGGCAAACCACACATTCATGACAGAAGCTCACAATGAGTTGAAAGCCAAAGAAAAAAAATAGGTTTTAAGAGATGATTTAAAAGCAATTAAAGACCGATCTGTGCCGAAAGGTTAATGCTTTCCAGATATTTAAACAATTTGATTCAGTACAATGTACTCGTCTCTCCCTCTATGAACGTACACAATAAGAAGAAACAATCTAAAATGCTTTGAAACGTCATACTACTCAAAACTAAATGCGATATGGTGATTTAAATGATGCTTGCACTTTACTTCGACGAGCCGCTCCAGCGCGCACGCGCTTCATATGAGCAACGCAATCAATCCCATAAAGCCACTTTTACACAGGACACGACAAGCGGTGAAAACACCGCGCGCTGCCGCGTTCTCTCATTTTGGATGCGTTTTGTACAGTCAAGGCGGTGCTCGTGTCATGGACTCGAGGCGGACGTTGCCATACAGTGGGGAAAATAATTATTTGATCCCCTGCTGATTTTGTAAGTTTGAACACTTACAAAAAAATGAAGGGTCTATAATTTTTATGGTAGGTTTATTTTAACGGATAGAGACAGAATATCAACAAAAAAATCCAGAAAAAACACATTATATAAAGGTTATAAATTGACTTGCATTTCAGTAAGTAAAATAAGTATTTGATCCCCTACCAACCAGCAAGAATTCTGGCTCCCACAGATTGGTTACGTGCCCAAGTGGAACACAGATTAGTCCTGTCACTTTAAGAAATTACTCCTAATGTCATCTTGTTATGTTATGAGTATAAAAGAAACCAGTCCATAGAATGTGTATCTTTCATTCAAACCTCTCCCACCACCATGGGCAAGACCAAAGAGCTGTCAAAGGACGTCAGAGACAAGATTGTAGACCTGCACAAGGCTGGAATGGGCTACAAGACCATCAGCAAGAAGCTTTTTGGGTCATGGATGATGGGTCTTCCAGCATAACAATTACCAAAAATACTGCCAAGGCAACAAAGGAGTGGCTCAAAAAGAAGGACATTAAGGTCATGGAGTGGCCTAGCCAGTCCCCAGACCTTAATTCTATAGAAAATCTGTGGAGTGAGCTGAAACTTTGAGTTGCCAAGAAACCTTAAGGATTTAGAGAGAATCTTTAAAGAGGAGTGGAACAAAATCCCTCCTGAGATGTGTGCAAACCTGGTGACCAACTACAAGACACGTCTTACCTCTGTGCTTGCCAACAAGAGTTTCTCCACCAAGTTTTGCTTGGGGATCAAATACTTATTTGACTCACTGAAATGCAAATCAATTTATAACCTTTGTACAGTGTTTTTTTTTTCTGGATTTTTTGCTTGATATTCTCTCTATCCGTTAAAATAAACCTACCATAAAAATTATAGACCCTTCATTTCTTTGTAAGTGGGCAAACTTACAAAATAAGTAGGGGATCAAATAATTATTTTCCCCACTGTAGTAATCGTAAAGCGTGACAAAATGACTATTCACTAAAGTCGGCTCATCCAAAAAAAATTAGTTAACTCACTCTCATGTTGTTCTCGCACGTCAAGCACGCTTTTAAACGTCCGTGCGCTGTAGGATGCTATCATCTGGACCATATACCTCAAAAAATTGTCATCCAAAAGAAAATTCCCTCCAATTCTAAATCCATGGCAAAACATATACGGTTAAAGTGTGGCCCGTATGTGCTCAGCCATGCCATACCTAGGCCAAATGTGACTGCTATCAGCCACATTTGGCCCAAACGCTCTTGCTATCTGGGTTAGGACTCACGTACATGAAGCGCCATCTACAGGTATTTCCCTAAACAACCACAGGTCAGATTTTCTGGCAGAGAATTGAGAGTTTATGAGAGCTTATTAAATCACAAACACGATTATTTATTTTTGCTAATTATTATTTTATTTTAGTTAGTTTTTCAGTTACTGTTGTTAGTTTTGTTTAGTTTTAGTTTTTCATTTATTTTGACATTTTTATTTTATTTCAGTTTATTTTGACATTTTAATTTTATTTCAGTTTACGAAAACGTTTTTTGACCAATAGTTTTAGTCTTGGTTTCAGTTTTCGTTTACGAAAATAACCTTGCACCAGACCTCACTGTTTCTCCCTCATTCCAAGTCATTTTAGGTTGGTTTTTCTGAACTCCATGAAGTGATTTGAATTGTGGTGCTTGATCACCTGCTCTGACATTAAAAGTTACTTTTTACAAATACAGAGGTTCTGTCTTCTGTCTTCTCTGCACAGGGGAAGAAGTTTGAGATCCAGCCCGATGGTTTGCCCTCTGCGAGAAAGCTGGTGTACTACACGGGTTCGGCTTTTCGTTCCCGACATCTTCTGCTGCATTTAAGTTCCTGTCACCGATTGTACCTCAGTTTGCAACCTGCACTCAAACACCTGCGGCAGCTTGAGGAGTCAGAGGGTGTGTGTCCACACAATAATCATCTACAGGCCCTTCTTGCTTGCTTTTGTAGTATGATTTTGTTTCCCCCTTGTTTGTAGTATGTTTTGTTTCTGATACTTCAAAATTCACATAAAAACAGAGTGATGGAAACATAGCTAGTGACCTCTGGCTTCTTGATCGCAATATTTGAATCAAGCATTTTTTCTAAAGCTGCTTTGAAATGATTTGTATTGTGAAAAGCGCTATACAAGTAAATATAATTTAAATTGAAAAATAAGGTGACCAGATTTTTAAAATGGAAACTGAGGACATAATAAAATAATAAATAATAAACTGTATTATATAATAAACATAAAATATATAAAAAATAGTAACTATTGCAAATAGCAAAAAATTCAAAACAGTATTATAACAAAATTATGACTTTACAAAACCACCAAAAACCAGGACTGTCCCCGGAACAGACGTCTGGTCACCCTATTGAAATATACAGTTTATTAATTTTGGTTGAAATAAGACCTGGATATGTTAAAGTGTTTGTGAGAATCACCCTTATTAGTCACAGAATTATTGTACCACGTCAGGCTGTTTTTGACAAAACATTATTTTCTCCATCTTCGGATCCAGAGAAGAAGAGGTACCGTGAATCGTACATCAGTGATGAGCTAGACCTGGATCAGCCGTGCAGCGAGGGCAGTCCCCGTCTGTCTCGACACTCCACCAGCAGCTCTGGCATTGAGGCGGACACCAGGCAACACAGCGTCTCCGTAGAGATGGTTTCCATGGAGGAGAAGGAAAAGTCCTTCATCTCTGCTGTCAGTCACGGCTCCTCACACACCTCTGGCATCGACACGAGCAGCAAAGCTCGGACTGATGAAGATGAGTGGCAGGAGGAAGGTGAGGGTCAAACAACTTGAGTGATATTTAATAAAATACTTTTGCAGATGTTTTGCAAAAGTATAAAATGTCCCGCTCATCAATTTGACATGGTCTGCTGACAGATAGGCATTGCTGGGATTCCTTGCATATGTAATGCTAGAAAGACGTAGGTGAAGCTATAGAGGTTGTTCTGAAGTTATTTAGTCTATTTGCTCAGCCAGCTTGAATTGCAAAATATCACGTTCGCACTGACAATAAAAGACAAAATGTTTTGTCACCACGTTAGATTTTTGACAAGGTTAAGCACAGATTAGCCCATGATGGACAGTTTGTGATGAAATCTCAATGTAGATTTGCAGGATGTGGTGAAGGAGCCCGGGGAGGTCTCTGTGGACGACCCAGTGGATATCTTGCGATTGGCTGACTGTCCCACCATCCAATCAGACACTGAATTTAAAGGTGATGACTCACAAAACAATCCGAATTAGGTCACTTTCAAACAATTCCACATCTGACACATCCAGTCTGAAAACTGATCTACATTATTTGATCTGTTTCTGATTCATTTGTAACCAATTCATTCATTTTTTATTTTTCATTTTTGCATAACATAAAAATAAAGTTACTAAAAGCATGGTAAATGTTTAAATCATGGAGAAAGTGCTTGCATACCACTACTGGCAAGTGAGCAACTAGTGCAAGATTAATATAATTATATAGAATCATTTATTATGGTGCTGATTCTTATTATATATTTTATATTATTATATTATGATATATTTTAATTGTATGATTGATATATAATATTATTTAGCAATTGTCATGCAATTAATGTTTATTTGTTATTAATGCTTTTGAAAGAACTTTAAAACCAAGTGCTTATCAAGGCTGAAGTTTTTTGATAAAAATACAGTAAAAACAGTGAAAACAGTGTGAAATATTACAATTAAAAATAGATGTATTCCTTTTGTGATATATTTTGAAATGTAATTTATTCCTGTGATGCAAAGCTGAATTTCCTGCAGCCATTACTCCAGTCTTCAGTGTCACATGGCCCTTCAGATCCTTAGTTTAATGTGCTAATTTGGAGCTAAAGAAACATTTCTTATTATTATGTTGAAAACAGTGTTTAATATTTTTTTGTGGAAACCATGAAAAAAAAAAAAATTCAGGATTTTTGTTTATGACTATAAAAAATAACAGCATTTATGAAATAGCTTTTTTCAATAACATCATAAATGTTTTTACTTTGTGTTTTGAGCAATTCAATGCATCCTTGCTGGAAAAAAAATCTTACCATGGTAATTCAGTTCACATTTATTTGTATAGCGCTTTTCACGATACAAATCGTTGCAAAGCAGCTTCACAGAAAATTAAAGTTTCTACATTACATTTAGGAGTAGCTTATCAGCCTATGTCAAAGTGATGTCCATAAGGCAGATATATACAGAAAAGAATCATCCACGACATGTATTCAAACAAATGGTGAACACTATTGACAGCAATGATTATATGTTGCTATCAAACTTATAGGAACATTTAGTAGTTTTGTATATTGGTTCAGGGTTGGCGTCATCTGAGGTCCTCAGAGGGGTTGGCATCATCTCTTCTCAGGTGTTCTGGATTGTCACATGATCCTTCAGAAATCATTCTAATATGCTGATTTTATTACTCAATAAATTATTATTTTTTATTTATTTAAAACAGATGTGCTGCTAAATATTTTTGTGGAAACCATGATACTTTTTTTTTTTTTTTTTAAAGATTTTCAAGACCGCTTTTTAATTATTTTTGTTTGTTTGTAACAATATATAAGTCTTGTCTGTCACTTGATCAATTGAATTCATCCTTGCTGAATAAAAGTATTAATTTCTTTCCTAAACTTTTGAACGGCAATGTATAAATTGAATGTAAACAGATGGGACCAGAAATAAATGTGTCAGAATATTGTATCTGTGCGTTAGGTCTTAAAGCATAAATGTAGTTTTTTGACAATTTTGAAATACAGTAAATCAATATTTTGCTTGTAGTCTTTGATGAGAATATAAATCTGATCCAGTTTACTGTAACATCTGTTTCCAGGTCTACAAATGAGTTCAGTTACAGGGAACGATCAAATGGACCATTGTGATCCAGATAGCATGAAACAGGTTTGCCATCTCTGATCTCTGTGACTTCTCTGTCTTCTTCAGTCTTTCACTTTTCATTCCTTCATCATGTCACTAATTGCTCTCATCACCCATTACAGGTTTCCAATCAGAAGGGTCGTAACCCGGCCGACCGCTACAGTCTGAGCCTGGACGACGTGCGACTGTATTCCCCACTTCTCCCTCTGAGAACGGCATCGGTTCCAGACACATCCGTCAGCTACACGTTTGGGCTTCCGCACTCCTCGACCAGTCCATGTCCAGACAGTACTTCATTCTGTGTCCAGCGCTCCACGAACTGCCTATCTCTGGACCTGCTGGATGATAACCAGTTGCTGGAGCTTGTCCTTTAAGAAACTGAGAAGACTGCAGCTTCCTGTTGTCTTGTCATTAAACTGGACAGAAAAATAAAGACAAAACTGAGGCATTAACAGGACACATTTTTATCAGGAATTTCATTAAAACTCAACCAATGTGTTTCTTCAAGAGAGTATGAACAAATGTGTTTTTTTTTAAACAATTTTTTACAAATCTTCGGTCATGTAGAATTTTGTGTTGAACTTTCTGCAGAACGTGTTAATGAGTAACCTTAAGAGAAGCAAGGCATTACTACACTAACATTGGGCCTTGATAAAATGACTTTATAAAACCTTCTCTTCCAAGTAAATTCCACAATAAGCAACAGGAGTCATCACCCACAGTGAACCTTCATTGGTCCAAATCCTGTTATGCATGGCAGAACTGTATATTAAACAACAAAACTAAACATTTTCACATTCAGGACAGACAGATTACTACTTGTTGGTTCACATCTTCTTAGGACATGTTGTAACATGTTATGCTACAAATATTGGTTAGGGAAAGAAACTTTGGACCTCTGAATTTCACATTTGCTCTAAGATGGCTTGACAATGTCAAAATTGGAGGAACATTCTCTGAATTACATTATGAAAACAGATAGAAGCTACCAGAAAATCCACTGAGTGCACAAAAACAAGTCCTGTACTCATGCAATAAAATGCCATGCAAGACTTTTAACTTGGGAGTTTGTCTGGCTAATCAATATCAGTGTGCTTAATCAATATCAAATACGATAAAAGAATTCACATTCTCTGTCTTTTTCGGTCATGATAAGGCACTGAACGTGCACCACCTGTTCTCCTGTTTCAAATAATAATTGTGTACAGACAATTCTCATGTTCCCAACTTACAAAGCATGTGTGAACCCGCTTAAACCAACAATTGGAACCAAGTTAAAAGGTCAAACCAAAATATTCCATGTCTGTTTTCTATGAGATCTAACCACTGGTTTAATATAATATCACATAGATCTTTACTACACAAGTCATGTTGAACTGAGTTGAACTTTTAAGAACAATAAGAACAAAGACTCGTTCGCTGTATATAGATCCGTGTTTGTTTTGTTCTGAATACATGGAGCTCTTTTGTTTTCGATAATTAGAAAACTCACATCAAGCCCTCAGGAGGTTGTGTATATAATGGTGGGTATAATTTCTTCATCTATGTATTGTAAACACACATCCTATTAAAAGCATGCTCATATACAGTGGGTACGGAAAGTATTCAGACCCCCTTAAATTTTTCACTCTGTTATATTGCAGCCATTTGAATACTTAGGACCATGTGATATTTCAGTTTTTCTTTTTTAATAAATCTGCAAAAATGTCAACGAATCTGTGTTTTTCTGTCAATATGGGGTGCTGTGTGTACATTAATGAGGAAAAAAAATTAACTTAAATGATTTTAGCAAATGGCTGCAATATAACAAAGAGTGAACAATTTAAGGAGGTCTGAATACTTTCCGTACCCACTGTATGTGTTCCTTTCAGTGAAAGGAAAAGCAATAAGAATGAATAGTACGAATAAACATAGATGTTTAGAAATTCCATAGTACAGTGTATGTGTTATTCATTACATAGAAATACAATAAACTCACTGATAAAAGCAATTAGCATAACCGCAGGGTCTGTGATCATGATAAGTGTAGGTGTAGGTTTTATTTTGGCATTGGTGGGGACATAACTGCAGACAACAGACATTTAATTGTCTGACCAAAATTATTGCTAGGGACAATTTAGTAATCGCTGGACACTAGTTGGCGACATGTCATAGCATATGAAGGTATTGTTGGGGCAAAACAACTGAGCGCCTGTGACAGTGGAATTTGTAGTTGTAGAGTAGCCACACATCCGTATCAGTGAATTTGAAGTCACAGACAAAATTTGCAAACTTGTCGATTTTTCTTTCTCTCCCACAAACACAACATTTACACCTTTACTCTCACATTTTTTGCTACTATTGCTGCAGTGAATATGGTACAAAACACAAGTCATGGACAGATTTTGTACATTTTATTAAAACTTGCAAAGCCTTTTCAGTCGAAATATGTAAATAAAGCGTAGTATATGAATGCAAATGCAAAGAAAGAAAGAAATAGTCGCCATGTGCCCCCTGCTGGCAGCAACGTTTCTCACTCAGCGCATGCGTCAATCGGTCACGTAATATTTCCGGAAGTAGACGCACCGGTTCACACGTGTGCAGCAGGCAAAACCATCAAACCGGATTTTAGCCATTTTAAAGCTGTGGGTATTTTTAACTCAAAAGGGCTAATAAGAAAATGTCTAATTTTTTGCTAAACACCCTTTTGTCCCACCATCCCGATCCCGAGAATTTGTTCAGTACGTTGTGCTGGCCAAGCACATCACGCCCCGACATAGAGAAGGTTGAAGCTTTAACTGTTTTGATCAAGGAGCTTTCCAATAAATCACAAGAGGAGCGCTTTATTTGTAAAGTGCAGTCAGTGATATGGAATCAATGCATGCCACTAATGCAAACGATCTCCAGTGCAGATGATGGAGGTAAAGATATGCTGAGTGCTGTCTGTGGACTCTTTGCAGTGTGTGTCAGTACCTGTCAGACCCATGATGTACCTGAGAAGGTAAGTCAGGTTCTTCTGCCTGTGCTGTTGTCGAGAGATGATGGCAACCATGAAACCAGCAGGTTTGACATGGATGTTGCCATTGAAGTCACAGCAGTGCTGTTATCCAGCATCTCATATGACAGAGACATCATCTCTAGGACCTTGTCCTGCACCCTTTGCTGTGTCAAAGATCTCTCTGACTCCGTAATCTCAAAAATCATAGTCCGGATCTGGTTCACCATACTCAAGTCCTGCGATAAAGACTCTGAATCAGAGGTCCTACATCAGATATGGGATGATTTACTGTCATGGCATCAGAGAGATCAGACCGAATCAGTATCAGCTCGGGTTCTGGTGTGTCTCACTTCTCTCTCCGACCACCTCTACTCATCTGAAACCTCTCAGACCCGGCCGGATCCTAGAAGATCTCAAAGGTTTTTTAGGGCAATTCAGGCCGGATTGATCCACAAGGACAGTGTGACCCGCAAACGGGCACTTTACCTGCTCACAAGGTGTGTGGCACTGGCAGAGATCAAGAAAGAAGATGTGTTTACTAGCGAGGAACCTAACAGGGGTAAGCCAACATTCATGGTGTGTAAGATGTTTATGATTTCTAACACTGTTCACATGCATCTCTTGGCTCTCTGCAGATGAGATCCTGTTCAGATGGACTCCAGAAAAAAAGCAGTTACTGAGGGAATTCTGGGAAGATTATGCTCTAGTATTAGAGACTCTAGAGGAAAACCAGGTAAAAATACGTTATTTTGTGTTTCAGATTCACAAAACCCCACTAGCTATATTCAGAATAGCAAACTACCATACTAAAATGAAAAATTCATTTTGAATGAATGAATCTGAATGTTCGCCTTATTGTTGTGGAAACAAGTATTTGTGAACTGCATTTTGCATTAGTGTGTCTTATATTGTTTATCTATTTTATTTTATTTTTTTAAGATTCATGTGATCCGACCTGTACTCAACAGGATCGACATGCTCGTTGAGACAACGGCGACTGACATCCAAGGTTGGTCACGTTTCTTTTGTGGCAGCATATGGCATAATACAGTTTTCCGCTGACTGGCCTTGAATCTCTGCTTAATCTTGTTCTCCAACTCTCTCCGTCCTCAGGTGGGCTGTTTTCTCCATCCTGGCTGCTGTGTGTGTATCAGCGCATGTTTCACAGTGAGAACAAGGCAGTTATGAAGGAAGGAGTCAATCACCTGTTAGAACTGAAAGCACTGCATCGTCCTGTGTTTGCTTTGGCATTTTCACAGGTATCCATCCATGAATCTTAAGATAATAGGATGTTATTCCTTATAAGATACTGTAACTAAATATTCAGTTTAACCCAGAAATATGTCACATTATGAAATAAATTCAATAAATAAATAAATAAAAAACACTTCTTGATAATGAACATTCTTCTGGTTGTCAGTTTGTAATCGGTCCTCTCATGGATGTTCTTGCAGAGAGCTCTCTCTATCACAGGTAACTGTTGTCTGGTATTAAATTTCATACTGGATAAAGTTTTATTACATAATACAGTTTGTTTGGTCTCAATCTTAAAATGCTTGTTTCCACAGAGCACTACAGCAGAACATTAGAGATTGTCCAGAGCTTGGAGTGAAACTCCAAATGTTTATGGTGAATTTCTTCAAAAGTTTGCCAGAAGAGAACAGAGGTAAAGAGAACCAGTTTATGTTTGTGGAGATGTTTTGGTCTTGCATTTTAGGTTTTTAAATAAAACCATGAAAAAGACTCCATGATATTTTAAGCTGGTCTGAAATGTGCAGTTTTACATCTAGAATTTATGTTGTTGTCGTGACCAGGTTCAGTGTTGCTGCAGCTCGTTCAGCGGTTGGGATCACGGCACTGGTGCGCAGTTCCGCTGCTCTTTCTGTCCCAGGCCCTGTCCTGTCTGTCCCCTTGTCCTCTACTAGGATCTGATGGACTTCATGCATTCAGGTACAAACTACTAGCTGCTGGAATCCAGTGATCTTGCAATTGGAGAAATGTAGTGAGTGTTAAGTACAAATTAAAGGAGATGTGCTACTGTTTTTATCTATTGTAAAGCATACATTATTTTAGAATATTTTGTTTTGCATTATTTATCATCATTACTAAAGACTTCTAAATAGACAAATATAAACTGCCTATGGATTAATATTTTACCAAAAAACTAAATGTAACAATTTTATGTGAGTTAGATAGTGAAAGAAAAGCAGCCAATCCTTCAGTGCTGTTTAAAATGCATCATGTGTAGGGATGGGCGTATCGATCCTAAGTATCGATATATCGATACTGACGCGAGTATCGAAAGTATCGATACTCAAACTAAAAATATCGATACTAAGGTGTGTTTTATTTACCAGTGATTTTGTTTATTTAAAATAATAATAATAATGCATACAACAATCTCAGAGAGCGTTCACTCACTGCTGACAGTGCATTCAAACAGAGCTCCGTTTCCCAAAAGTATCATAAGAAAGCATTAAAGGGGTCATATGATGCGATTTCAAGTTTTCCTTTCTCTTTGGAGTGTTACAAGCTGATTGTGCATAGTCGTATCGAAAACAAAATAAGTGGTATCGCCCATCCCTAATCATGTGATGTAAATCGACTGATGTAATTGGTTGAGAGAATGTCCAGAGTGAGCAGAGCTGCAGTCTGATCTATAAAACGGACATCTGTAGAGATCAGACTTGATGAAAGCACGTATTTGTTGCAATAATACATGTGTTTGTAAGTCACATAATCTGCTGGTGTTTTTGTGTTCAGAGAAGTTCTGCGCTGCACTATGATCACTCACCAGGTTCTTCTGAGAGGAGCTTCACAGTGTTTTCTGCTCCGTGCTGCTCTCTGTCTGACAGATGTGGTACTGTAGCTTTCCCCCTTCAAATCCCTAACCCTGTAAAGCCTGTCATATGAAATAACAGTCAGATTATTTGCTTTTTAATGAAAAAGTCTATCGAACATTCAGACAAAAGTTTTCATATGCATTTTGTATCATATTGGTTAATGTTGTATGATATTAGTGAGAATATAGAGCTTAGAATGAAGAAGGAAAAAAAAAACACCTCAATTACATTTTTTAGTCAGTCGAAAACTGAGCAAAAATATGACATCTGGTGCAGATTTTGTTATTTATGTGGTTTTCCACGACATTCTAATTTATTGAGATGCACCTGTATTAGAATTGATATTAAGAAATGTTTCTTGAGCAGCAAAACAGCATATTAATGTTAGTAATGGCTGCTAAAAATTCAGCTTTACCACTACTACATCAATCAATTTTAAAATGTGTTAAAATAGAAAATAAGTTGTAATAATATTTCATAATACTATCATTTTTACTTCTTTTTTTATCAAATAAATCCAGCATTAGTGAGCATAAGAGACTTTATTAAAAAAAAAAAAAAACTTTGAAAAATTCTTACCAACCACAAATGTACATGTTTATCTTAAGGTGGTTTTCAGGTTTTTATCCCTTAAATGCTTGTGTATATGCTCTATTTTTCTTCCACTTTTAAGTCAAATATAAAGTTTGGAGGTCATTGCCAAAATGTTTGACAAGTCACATTCAAGTATTTCAAAGAACCTTTAGTAAGTTAGAAATTAACTTAACTCAAATTTCATTTTTCTTTTTAGTAGATACTGTAGATTACTCTCAAGCACATTTGTAAGTGGATGGCAATTTCTGATGGAATGAGATCTAAACTGTGTTTTTCTAGAATCCATCTGTGTCAGGACAGGTTCAGAGAGTGGTCAGTATGGCCACACTTGCGCTGTTGTGTGACGTGGATGATCGAGGTGTCCTAAACTACCGGTCTGAGGCCATGAGAACGCTTCACTCGCTGACCGACTACTTCTACCCTTCATCATCTCAGCATCTCAACCAAACATTACTGAAGCCCACATCTGTGACAATCAGGTCTGGTCAGCTCTAAAAATATATTTATAAATATTTGGTTGCTGTAGATCTTAGAATTAAAATTCCATATTTAACCATACAGAGGAGAAATTTTGTTCGAAGTACGTTTTCCTGTGGACCATTATCACTTCTTCATTTATGAGTTATGTGTGTTTATAACAGTGATCCCGTGGACAGTGTCGTGCTGAAGGACTGGGGGCGAATCGTGGCCCAGTTTATTCGAGATCAGTGGACGTGTCTGAGTTTTCTGCAGAAGTCTGCTGGGACCCTTCGGGCTCCTGTAGCTTCTGAGGTCCTGAGGGCTGCTGTGGATGCTCTAGCATTACTGCCTGGTCATCTTGTTTTGCCGGTGCTGGACTTCATGGCATCAGTCGTACCACAGGTGGGCCGCATCTCCTTTAAGTTAGGAAAAAAGTTAAGTTATTTTATTAGCTTTGTTTTATTAACATTTCATATTTGAAAAAATAAATATGTGTTCTACTCTTTTCTAGGTGTTATTTTGCTTGAAGTCAGTTGATAATGTTAGTCGAGGTTTTTTGTGCCAAACAATTGTCTGTTACATATATAATAAAAATCTGGAATTGTAGGAAATTTTGAAATTAACATTTTTTTTTATTTGTGACCCTGGACCACAAAACCAGTCATAAGGGTCAATTTTTTTTGTTTGTTATGATGGGACAATATTTGGCCGAGATACAACTATTTGAAAATCTGGAATCTGAGGGTGCAAAAAAATCAAAATATTGAGAAAATCGCCTTTAAAGTTGTCCAAATGAAGTTCTTAGCAATACATATTACTAATCAAAAATTAAGTTTTAATATATTTACAGTAGGAAATTTACAAAATATCTTCATGGAACATGATCTTTACTTAATATCCTAATGATTTTTGGCATAAAAGAAAAATCAATAATTTTGACCCATACAATGTATTTTTGGCTATTGCCACAAATATACCCCAGCGACTTAAGACTGCTTTTGTGGTCCAGGGTCACATTTTTGATTGTGTGATGTGAGTTTAAACTGGTGTTTAGTTGCTGGGTCTATTTTCTCCACCAGGTGGTGCAGTGTGATGAATCTCTGTGCATTGAGGCCATATGTGCATCATGGAAGGTGGTTCAGGCTCTGAGCACAAACCCTCATGATTTCTGGTCCACACTGCAGGGATTCGTGCGCTTAGCGTTTCACCAGGGCCTTCTGCAGCTCACAGAGGAACAGAATCACAGAATCACAGCCTGCATACAACAGGTCAAGTCAAGTCAAGTCAAGTCACCTTTATTTATATAGCGCTTTTAACAATACAGATTGTGTCAAAGCAACTGAACAGCATTAATTAGGAAAATAGTGTGTCAATAATGCAAAATGACAATAGTAAACACTCATTTTTCAGTTAAAGACAGTTCATCATTGAATTCAGTGATGTCAACATCCAGCTCAGTTTAAATAGTATCTTTGCAATCAAGTCAACGGTATCGCTGGAAATGAAGTGTCCCCAACTAAGCATAGTTAAGCAAGGTCCATACAAAACCTGAAAGACCTCTTTTGTAGCGTTTGTGATCAAAAAAACATATAGCTAGTGTATATAATAAAAGCTTTCTGGTTTTTGGCAGATTGTGACTGAGCTCATGGAGTTGGCACAAGTCCGATCAGGAGTGTTTAATGTTCTGATCCAGCATTGCTGTGAGACGTGGCTTCCCTGTGGGGCAGCAGAGGGTCTCCAGTCAGACGTTGTGTTCAGTACGGCTCTCTTACACCTCGACATCCTGACTGAGGCCTGTGTGTACGGCCCAGTGTTCAGAAGAGACCAAAGGTGAGTGCACATTAAAAAGCAAATGAAAAAGTATTTCTCTCAACAGTGTTCAGCAGCAGCATCTCTACTAATAAAGAAACTGTATCAGCTCATCTGCTTCAAGAACAGCCTCGCTAGTAAGAAATGACAAGTAGCTTTAAAGTTGCTAAACTATTTTACTGATAAAATCGTCAGTGCAGCTAAAAACAGTTTCTGTGCGTGGGTATGTTTCCATGTGTGTCTGTACTGTATGTGTGTGCATTTGTAAGGGAGAGAGAGCGGGAGAAAAGAAAGTACGTGCTTTCCATAATAATGAAACTTGACATGGAAATAATTAGTCGTTTTTATCCTATTGTTTATTATATTTATTTGCTTGGCCAGTGTCGTTATGGGTTTTGGTTATTTTGCTGTTTTAGGCTGTAAGGACATTTGAAATAACTGAAATCAGTGATCTGGACATGTAATGTGGTCGAGACCTGCCTGGAACTACTTTAGCTGAAATTATATTAAAAATATAAATATAATAATGCTAATGATAATAAATGTATTTTCTCTCTTTTGCTTTCAGGCTTGTTCAGGAGGTTCAAAGCTATGTTGAGCAACTTGGTGATAGTTGTGCAGCAAACACAGCTGTCAACAGGTAAACCACAACACTTACTGTTTGTAATGTGTCTAAAAGAAAGGAAACTTTTGCATAAAAATCATTAAATATTCTTGAAAAAAATATTGTTGCTGGGGTAACTGACTATACAGCTGAAATAAATGAATTATGCATATATTACAAGCTGACACCATTAATTGTGGACTTTTACAAATGGACTATTTTTGTGGTACAAAACTGCTTGAATCAAAATAGATTCATTCTACATTTCCTCATAGCATGTTCAAATACTTTGGCGCTGATTTACATTTATTATTCTGAATCTCATTTCCAGTGATAACAGGGATGATCAATTTCCTCGAGTGTGTGTTCTGGCTTTCCTCTGCCGCTTGAATCCATCTAATCAGCTTCACCAGCGTCTGATGGAAGAGCTCGTACAGCGACTACTGAGGAAGGTTTGTGTTCAATTCATTACTACGGCTCTTACTGTAAATTGGGTGTTTAATTCTTAAAGAAAGGACTTCCTGGAAACAACGAGCAAGCTGACACCATTAATTGTGGACTTTTACAAAAGACTATTTTTGTGGTACAAAACTGCTTGAATCAAAATAGATTCATTCTACTTTTCCTCATAGCATGTTCAAATACTTTGGCGCTGATTTACATTTATTATTCTGAATCTCATTTCCAGTGATAACAGGGATGATCAATTTCCTCGAGTGTGTGTTCTGGCTTTCCTCTGCCGCTTGAATCCATCTAATCAGCTTCACCAGCGTCTGATGGAAGAGCTCGTACAGCGACTACTGAGGAAGGTTTGTGTTCAATTCATTACTACGGCTCTTACTGTAAATTGGGTGTTTAATTCTTAAAGAAAGGACTTCCTGGAAACAACGAGTGTGTGTTTGATTTTGTTTTGAATGGCCCATCTCATGGTTATTGCATGTGTTTTTGATTAAAGTTCCCTCCTTTGTCTCTTTTCTTTCCCTTAGGATGCCGAGATTTCGAAATCCAAAGTACGTTACTATAGCAACTCCATCCAGCACAGAGTGAAGAACCGCGTGTGGCAGACGCTGCTGCTGTTACTGCATAAACTCAGACCGGTTAGATCTCTACACCACACGCATGCATATTAATCCACTTTGTACTAGAGATGCTTTGATTTCAAGCTTTTTGGCCAGTAGCAATTCTGATATTGTCAGATCACTGTGTTGCTACTGAATTAAGCTTTTAAATAAACACAATGTGATTACACCCCTACAGAGAGGTAGTTCTATTAACTAAATATTACTGATTTGAATCTGTTGGATGTATAACAGGCCTACATTGTAAGACAAATTATATAAATAATAATAAATAATTAAATACATAATAATTAAAACTAATATGACTATTTTATAGAGGTTATGTTTGAACTGCTAAAGTAAGTTTTTACCCGTTACGATCGAACATTAGAAATACAAATGAATTACAAAAACCTAAAAAAATCTTGCTACTTGATACAGCCAAAATATTGCCTGTTCAACAAAAAGTATGCACATCCAGCAGGCAAAAAGCTCAATAAGGCTGCTCAACCACATAAAGTTGCAACACAATATATGTATTGCAAGTTCTCACCAACAGTGATGTTTTGAGCCATATGGCTCTTAATCAGACAAATATTGTTTGTTAAAATGCCATTAATATTGTTGTTGATGAAATACAATGTTGCATTTATTGAATTTAATTAATCATTTATTTTATTTAGTGTAAAAATAGCTATTATATAGCTATAATAAAGTAGAAACAATAGTACATTTTGTTAGTAAATTGGTTGTTAAATTCAAAATCTGTGTACACAGTTTCGAGTTCAGCAGTCAATGTTGATGTTATCTGTCACAGGAGTTTGTGTCAGAGTGTGTGTTGAGTCACGTGTGTGAGGCCGGCTTCTGCAGTAACCAAGCGTCCGTCAAGTACCTGATAGAGTGGACCCTGATCCTGGTCCTCCACCAGAACCCGTCTCGCATCCAGAACCTGTGGAACTGCTTCAGTCTGGTGAGTCTGAACTCATCAGCACACAAACTTGAATCTAAAAACAGATGCAGCATATATCTAGCGTAGCGTTAGTTCTGGCAGGTCACGTTAGTCAAGCTCGCATCAGCTGACTCTCAGCTGATCCCCATCAACCTATGGGAATACGACACCTATCTAAGCATTCATATACAAGGTCCCTCAGTATTATCAGCAGTTTTCGCATTGCTCAATAGCTAATTACCCTCCTCCATCCCCAACTCCTCCTCTGTCAGTCAGGATTCAGCCTTCTGATTCTCCTTTGAATCTGACTAAATCTAAAATGTGTACATAACATTATTGAACTTTAACGATATCTGCAATACATTTATGTTGGTTCTGTTCGGTTTACCCTGGGGGTTTATTGCTGCTCTCCCTGCTCTCATCCATGCTAGGCTGCATGGAATGCGCAGGGAGTTCTTGCCCAGAACAGAACCATACCGCCAATCCAAACTGTATGCTAATTGTCAATCATCTTTGACGATAGTGGTCCTGACAGAAATACAGATCAAATCCAGTCCTGAAAATATCACGTTCCTCATTATTAGTGGCATCCAAAAGAGTAGGAAAAATAGCTAGATTAAACTAGGATAGGAGAAAGTATTTTAACTTCTTTTAAGTATCTAGATATGCGTGTCATTTTCTTGTAAACCATGCAGTTATTTGTTTTGCAGGATCATGAGAAGACAAAAACAAGCATATGCACTTTTCTCTCTGTCCTTGTGCACCTGAATGTCCTCCTCCCAAAACTGCAAGATAAGGTGCAATTTCATCAGTTGAATCTGATTTATTCTTCCTGTGCAGCCGGTATGAACATGTTATGCGTTAACTGTATTGCTGGTGTCTTTCTCAGGAGGCGCAGTGGCGTAGAGCAGTGGAGGTGAGCCTGCAGTGGTGTTTCAGTCATAATTTCAGCATCCGTCTGTACGCCCTGCTCGCCCTTAAAAGGGTGTGGGAGCTGGAGGATGCCCGTGTCCTCCCGGAGGAACATCTGGGCGCACTGACCACAGTGGTTCAGGCCTGTTTACAGCAGGCTGAAGCTATGCAGAACACCGGGTGAGAAAAGATTCACTCATTAACCCTATAAACCCTAGATTTTACTTCCTTAGCAAGTAAAAGGCCTTTTAGTATAATTCTAAAAATGTCCCCCTTCAGGTCATCGTTCACATGTCTTTTTGCTGTGAAATCTTTACAGCTTTTTATAAAGTAAACTGTATTTTTATAAAGTAAAAATGGCATTGATTTGATCATAGAACTAAGCATTTAAATATCATCTTACACATATTATTGGGAGATATAGAGTGATTTTATGTAATACTTTTTTAAAAAAAATTTTATTTTATGCTATACTGTTATAAAGATGTCATTGATTTACGCTACAATCTATCAGAATTTCATCGTACTTTTTAGCCATATAAATATCAGCAACTGCACCAAATTGCCAGTTTTTTTTTTCTGTTTGTGCCTCTGATATAGGAAAATATAAAGCTCATACTCAAACAGGAAAAAAACACCCCTTTTAATCATAGTATATGAGCCATAAAAGCCTGATGTATCAAATTTGATGCAAAAACCTTTTTTTGCTTTTTTGCTTCCAGTAACCTGTAGATTTTTCTGACTGTTATAGCATATGTCAGGCTTTATAGCGTTAATAGAGCTGTGATCCTGAATTATAGTGACTTGTAGGACTGATTTTTCAGGGTTCTCTTAGATTCTCATAAGAAACCTGGAGATATCGGATTTTTAAAACTAAATTTTTCCCCCTACAGAAATGCGATGAAAAATTGGTCTAGAATCCAGGACCATTTCTTCTTCAGTGCTTTTAACCCAATCATGGACTACAGTGTTGAGGTGAGATCTTTCTCACACACACACTCTCTCTCTTTCTTCTGCCCTGAGTGTATAATCTGATCCGTTCTGTGCTGTTATGATCCAGCGGCATTACATTCTCTGCTTCCCCAGATAATATTCCACATCTTTCCTCTCCTCTCGGAGCTGGCAGAAGATGAGTGGCTTCCACTGTGGAAATTTGAAAGTTTTGTTGACTTCCCAATTGGTGCTGCCCTACCCTTGAAGAACTCTGTGACGGATCTCTGTGAATTCCAGCCTGGTGACTGGAGCCAACAGGACAAAGGTAATCACCACATGAGGGTGGCAGAGAGCTGGAACCACACCACACTTATGAAAACACTCACTATGTTTACATGTGCACCAGTAATGTCATTATTTTCAATAATCAGAGTAAGGACTTAATTGCAGTAAGATGACACGTGCAAACCTCTTCACTCCAGTTTACATGCAATATTCATTATTCTGGTTATTTGCTAAGAAGTGTGGTTATTTTTGTCATTATTTGCATACTCCACAGCACAAATAATGAACTCATACATTTGGCATGGTACTGGCCACTGTCCACTTACACCAAATGCAAAATTTGCGAACTTGCATAACTCAGCACTGACAAAACTTTGGCATATTGAGTGGTGAGGGGATTCTTGAACTTAAACAAGAAATCAACAGATAGCTCTGTGATTGGCTACACTGCTCAACGCTGCAAAAACATGTTGTAAATAGAAACCTTGGAAGCTCTCCTGAGCACAAACACAAATACGCGTTTGCCAAATCTGTTTTGGCAATTCATAGTTTTCAGTAACGTGACTGGCTCAAAGACCTGGCGGGTAAAACATCCATAGAACTGCAGCACAAGCCTGTCAATTGTCTATCAGCTCCAATCCCAAAAATATTTAGATCACCTCTCAAAAAAATAAAACCAAAATATGTGAACAAAATGCAAGTTTTGGCCATTAGCAATACATATAAAGCACCTGCCGCAATATTTCAATCACTAAAAACAGCGG